AGATGAATTCGCCTTTTGGGTTATGCACAGAAACTAGTCCAAGTCCAAGTATTACTATAAAAAACACATGATTAAAATGAAAATAAATGTATTTTTATTGTGACAAAAAAAATGTATCTTTATCTTTGGAATAAAGTAAGCAAAAAAGAAGGAAAAAACAAGTTGTTCATATTGTTCACTTAATCACAAAAGAAGAAAATGAAAACGAAAGCAACAGCAGGAAAGCAAGTGATGATAATTCATATTGTTCACTTAATTAACAATATTTTTTCTCACATCTCAATAAAAGAAATGAACAATAGAAGAACATGTGGGGAAAACAAAATAGTCTACGAAACTAACGCAACCCACAACTAAAACCTATTGAATATCAAAACCTCTTAACTAATTTCATTAGTACGTAAACTAGCTATATACATAGAATATAATTCAACCATTTTTATATCACAAGTTGGCTCCTAACTCTACACTCTATAGTCCATGTGGTTTGTTTGAGCGTGACATTAACATGCCCAACTGTCCAAGATCAGATTTTGATTGTAACTTTGGTTCTGACTTCTGACAAGTTCTAGATTTCATACCAACACTTATTTGTCTTCTTCATAATTTAATCAATGATAGTAAAAAATTAAGACGATAATGCTTTGAAGATTTTGTGGAAAAGAATCTGATAAATGCACTGGGCTTATTATTCTAAATTATTTTTCACTGGGCTTAAACTGGCTCCAATGGGCTTTTGGGCTTTATTTTTTAAAATTTGTGAGACCACGTCGTATTTTAATTACCCAACCGACGCCGTTTCGCCAATCTCTCCTCATTCTCCTAATCGAGTTTCTCAAACACTGGAAAAACCCTAAATCTTGTTCTGTAATTGAATTTCTCAGGCGTCGTTTCTCTGCGAAGCCTCTTTCCATTGTTATTATCAAGCTTTCTCAAAATCGCTATCGTGGGTTTAACCAAAGTATTGATCTTTGTTTGTTTCGTTCTGAATTCGTGTTAGTATTCATAGCGAATAATGGAAGGGAGATTAGCTAATATGTGGAGGTTATCTGTGAACGAGAGTAAATTCGTGGAAACTGCTTTGCAATCTGAGCTCAGAATTGATGGTCGTGGGCTTTATGATTACCGCAAGCTTACCATTAAGTTTGGAAAGTAAGTGCTCTTACTTGTTCACATTCCTTCTCTACTTTCACTTGTTCTGCTTATTGATACCATTGCTCTGCACTTAGTCTATAGCTCAAAAGCTTCAATTTTTGTTGGGTTTTGTGAGATAACTTTGAATGTATCTGCTTTGCTCATGTTCATTTTGCTGGTGTACATCTCTTTAGTCTACTATTGCTTCTTACTTGTATCTTTGATGGGTTTTTGTAACTGTTGTGACTAAAGAGCTTTTTTAATCTTGTTTGTGTATCAACAGAGAATATGGTAGCTCAGAAGTTCAGCTTGGTCAGACTCATGTAATGGGTTTTGTGACTGCTCAGTTGGTACAGCCTTACAAAGACAGACCTAATGAAGGCTCTCTATCTATCTTCACTGAGTTTTCTCCAATGGCTGATCCATCTTTTGAGCCTGGTCGTCCTGGTGAATCTGCAGTGGAGCTCGGCCGTATTATAGACCGTGGTCTAAGGTACAAATCTCTCTTTTGAATAGTATGTATTAACGCTGCAGAACAATTGTAACTTTTCTGGTTGGAGTAATGGTAAATTGGTCACTGTTTCGGTTTCAGAGAAAGCCGTGCGGTAGATACAGAGTCGCTCTGTGTGCTAGCTGGAAAGATGGTCTGGTCCGTTCGCATTGATCTTCACATTTTGGATAATGGAGGGTAGGCTTCATTGACTACATTACTTCTCCTCTCCTATATTTTCGTTGAAGGTTTTGGTTTTAAAATGATATTCGTTTGCGTGTTTATACTACTTACTTTTGCATAGGAACTTGGTGGATGCTGCAAATATTGCTGCTTTAGCAGCACTCATGACGTTCAGGAGACCTGACTGCACAGTTGGAGGAGAGAACGGCCAAGAAGTGATCATACATTCTCTGGAGGTTAGTCATGTTTTATTCGGTTTAGAGAAACTTGTAAGAAAGGAAGTTCTCAACTTCTCAACAGTTTGATTTATATTAACTTTCTTTTGCAGGAAAGGGAGCCACTTCCATTGATTATACATCATCTCCCGATAGCCTTCACGTTTGGATTTTTCAATAAAGGCACTATCGTGGTAAAATAATCAGTCTTTTCATTGAGAATTTAGTTTTTGTATTTTTTTTTTCATTGTTTCTTAGATAAGAAATGGGATTGTGTTGTTATGCAGGTGATGGATCCAACTTATGTTGAAGAAGCTGTTATGTGTGGGAGAATGACTGTGACAGTTAACGCCAATGGCGATATATGCGCAATCCAAAAACCAGGAGAAGAAGGCGTGAATCATAGCGTAATCCTTCATTGTCTGCGTGTTGCTGCTTCAAGAGCGGCTGCAACAACAAAGATAATTAGAGAAGAAGTAAGGTTTCTAAATCCAAATTGTTTCGTAACTTTTGATCAAAGAATCTTAATCAGTTCCGTGCTTTTTTTTTTTCATGGTGTAGGTTGAAGCATACAACCGAGAAAAAAACTTACAGAAGGTGAAGCGACATCCTACTTTGGCTAAATCTGAAGTTTCTGGACCCATTGTAGTTGTGAAAGAAGGACACAGGAAGTCCTCAGATCAGGATAAAGCCGCAGAGACATCTGTGGAACATGTTGAAAGACTAAAGCTTTCTTCAGAAGAGTTAAGAAGCTATAAGGAACAAGAAGCTGCCAAATTTAAAGGTGGTCCTTCCAATTGGTAAATTCTTCTACTCTGGTTTGTGAAAGGGAGTTTTTTTGCATCTCAAAAACTTTAATTGTGGAACAATGTCCAGGGACCCTTACACCGAAGCGATGGATGTTGATTCTCTGAAAGTTTCTCTTGCTTCAAGAGGTAAAGTTTTCTTCTTTTTTTGCTTCTCGTCTAGATAGATAGATAAGAAAATGAGACTTGTTCTGTTTTAAATTGATCCAGGGGATTCGGTGACTCAGTCCCCGAGTAAGAAGAAGATGAACAGCTCTGAAAATGATACAGCTGAGGAAGTAACCGAAGAATTAGAGCAGAAGGATACAACAGTTGAGGTTATAACAAAACACAAGGATGGAGAGAAAACACTGAAAGATGCTGTGAAACCAAAGAAGAAGCGGAAAAGCAACAAAAGCAGTTAAACAAGAAAAAGATCTCTAATTTTATATTTTTGTACGATCAACAAGTTTTCTATAAGGAATTTGGCTCAGTTTTGTAGTCAACGTAGAATCTGAAAAAGTCAACATTACTAGAGTGGAGTCAACATTACTGGAAAAGTCAACGTTATAAACTGTTGCTAAAGTATGTTAGAGAATTTGAGTTTTGTTTTGAATTTCACTATAGGGTTCCTGTTTGTTCAATGAACTTTTGAGGGGTTGTATCATACCTCGATGATGAGAGTCCTTAAATTTGGAGAGTTCTTTATCAACTTTCCCAGAGAAGACCAACAGAAGCTAGAAGCAGATATACGAGACAGATTTTCAAACACTGGGATTGCTTCAATGAAGACATTAAGCATCTGAAACATACGACAATCAAATCAATTGCAACCTATGAATGAAAAAAACCCTCAAGAGACATTTTGAATATCTAATAAGTTATTGATTCTTATACCTCGATCGTCCTTTTATATATATTAAGCTGCAGTAACATAATAAAGCGAACACTTACCTCCATAGTTTCCACATCTAAGTCCAGAATCTCGACATTTTTTTAACCCGTTAATCAGATTAATCGGGTTGAAATCATCTGCATGTCTTTCATCCCATACAACATATTCGTCCGCGATTAACAATCAGGTACTCCTTTGGAACATAATCAGAGTAATCTAAGTAGGTAAGACCTGGAAGATCAAAACTAATGCTGTCGAAATCATAGGCAAGTCCCCGACCATCCAATCTAATGATCTCTTCCTGAGGTTCATCAGCATAACCTTCCCACACTTGCCGTCGAATAGTAAGTCTTCGAAGGGTCGGACTAGACACAGTCCAAGACCATTTCCAGCGTTCGAACTCGATACCATCCATAACTAATTCCTCAAGGAGAGGGGACGCAGAAAGAAGCGTTGTGAACGCACCAAAATCATAGAACCGAATTGAATCAAGAAACAGGGACTTGAGAGCTGGAAGTAAAGCATCGTTAGGGAGAATGTCAATAGCAAAATCAGACCCTAGAGTAAGTTTTTCGACTGTCTTGCAAGTAAAAACCTCCAACGGCAGTGAATACCCTCGTTTGACATGGGCTTTCAGTTCAAGAACCAAGACACCACGCTTCAGGACATCACATAGGCAACGATTGACATGAACATATTGGCCACTATGCACATATTGCCATTTTATAGAGAAATTCCTTATACGAGAACTAGCTGGTAAAGCCAATACTCCATCAACAAAATCCTTAAAACTCCCTCCACCACAAACTGAGCCATCAAAGTGAAGATCTTTGTATGATGGTAAACAGATTTTGCCACCTCTTTGAGAGAACCTTTGTGAAAGCAGCTTCCTTTGCAGATAGGAAGGACCCAATGTGGCAAAGAATCTCGTCTGGTAGATTGCTGATTCGATCCATGATTTTTCTTTTTGCAAAACCCTAGAGAAACCCTTTTCGCTAATCAGAAAAACCCAGTTCCTAAACCCCGAAAACTAATCGACCCTAACCAGTTTCAAAGCGTTATTGCATGCTTAATAATCTACCAATCGACATGAGAAACCCAGAAATGATCACAAATCGGAGAAACAGCTAAAAACACCGGATTCAAATAGGAAAATTAGCAGAAATGACGACGAAAATTCTGATCAATTCTTCGCTAATACCCTTAGTGAAGCGAAATTACAATCTTTATATGGATGCTTCCATTGCAAACGTGCCACGTGTACGCTCCCTTTATGGAATGCGAATTTACAAAACGAGTTACCGGATCAACGGTAGGTGCATAATGAACTTTTCAAGGATTCAAAACATTACAAGTTCACAGTTTTGAGCAAATGAGAAGAGTTACTAGTTATTGATTACCAAAATACAAGTCAATTCTGACTAAGTACTACTGGCTTCATCTCCAAAATTATAGAATGCCTCTCTATGCTTAATCGAGTTAATAACCCTATTTATAAAAATAATCGTGCTAAATATATAATATCATGGCCAAGAATCCCATCTTTCATTGTCTTGAAACATGAGGAGAAGTGGTCTTTTTGGCAGCAAATCTGTTAAAATTGAGACAAAGAAATTGTGATTACTAACAAACATTAGCCACACACACACACACTGACTTAAACTATTCAAAATATATTTTAAAATGTAATCAAGCTTTAGAGTGTACCAATTAGTAATCCAAATCTGAAGTAATTTAGTCAAAGAGACACTAAATGCTTTCTCTGAGTTTAATGGGAAGATCAAGATCAGGCTCAGATGGAGTCAAAGCAGAGAAGTAATTATCAACCATGTCCTCTGAAACTTTCTCCAAGCTTGGTGGATCCCACTGCACAACACCAAATTTTATTTAGCATTAATCCTTAATCAATTATTAATCTCTATATTTATAATGATGTACTAATTGTTATACAGTAATGTGTTATTGAAAAGATTTAACAAATATACCTTTGGTGCTTCGTCCTTGTCTATCAATCGAGCTCGTACTCCCTTTACACCATTGAAACATTACTCAATCAATTGGCTCATTACTCTGGTTTGCAATGTCATACCGAAAACTCACATACCTCGCAAAAATTGCCTGAACTTTTTCCGATTATTCCTTGTAGCGACATTCTATACTCTCGGATTAAGCATTGGTCAAGTGTTTGAAACCTTCCTTCTCGGATCTGTTGGATTCGTTTAAAGAAGCTACATAAGTCGAGAAAAGGAAAAATGAGATCGTTGAAACAATCAAAGTTAGTTGTGAACTTACAGATCTCAATGCGACCTTCAAAGATAATGGCGAGGTTTCTTTAAGTCTACGTAGAGTAGTAGTGCACCATATGTCTTTTTTTCTACTAGCCTCGGTTTCCTGGTGACCACAGACACGAAACACTGTTACTTCTAGTGACTCTAGATGGTCATACTTATGGAATCATTTGTAACGAGACTTTACCAAAGAATCAATAATTTCTTCCACTGTGTCATGGCCAAAGCACTTATCAAGTAAATCGAACCTAAGAAAAACCGCGATCAAAGCAAACTTTAGGAGTTGGAATGAGAATATAAGGCGGCAGCAGAATTTTCTTTCTCCAGGATTCAGTAAAACAAACCTGCGAATAACACCAGTCTTTTCTGGATGGGCAACTTCTGCACATTTTTCTAAGGTTGACTCAACAACAGAAGGATCATCAGTGAGCAGCTTCTTGAGCTGTTGTTCCATTACAGGAACCTCCTGTTGTAATAGAAGAAAGCATTACAATCTAGCATGTAAGATAACTTTAGTGAGAAAGCATTACAATCTAGCATGTAAGATAACTTTAGTGAAAACAGAAAAATCTCATTCATGTAATTTATATTACCTCACTTCTAATATAATGTGTTGCAAGGCCACATGCCAACATTTCTGCTCCACTGAGCTTTAACCCAGTCAGACCCAGATACTCCCCTACATATACTCTATTTAATCATCCATCTTAGGGAGCTACTGTATACTATGTTAGTTTTCCAAATAAATTTCTCTCCAGCTATTGATAAGACTGAAATGATAAACCTATAAAGCTTTAAGCATTACCTAAGCGACCGGGTAAGTGAGAGAGATTAAAAGAAGCACCAGCGTCAGGATGGAAACCAATGATTGTTTCAGGGGTAGCAAAAATCTGCAAGATACGAGAGTTAGTTACTGCATGCTCCAAGAAGATGTACAAGGGAACAAAACAAGAATCAGCTGAACGACTAATTGGAAGGAGGATATAGATGGTGAAAAGTGGAGAAATATAGACGGAAAATTACATACAGTTCTATCAGTAGCTACACGAAATGTCCCAGGTATCGAAACTCCAGTCCCGCCTCCCATGGTAACACCGTTAAGAATTGCCACCTGCATGAACAGGGTAAATCATGGTATCATTCTACTTATCATGGTCCGGAGACATATTGATTGCCTATTGGTTACAGAGTCAATAATCAAAAAGTAAAGCTCACTTACATGTGGCTTTAGATATGTGCCTAGCAAGTATATAAAACTGTACAAATTCCAGAAAAACTCCCTAACAGCATCCGGACTACCTACACAGGTTAAAGAGAATATAAGTTAAGAAAATATCAGCGAATAAAGAGAGTAATTAAGATACCACACAGGTAAGAATCCTCGCTAATACGTAAAAGGCTGTATAACAATATTCCAACACCAGTACATATCTAGACTTAAAGTACCACAAAAACTATCAAGTATTAGATTGATCATACACCCTCCCATGCCATCTAATCTTCATGACAAAAACTCGCTTTTGCGATCCTATCTAGCTTCCTAAAAGTCATAACATCACAATGTATACTGGAATTTCTTATACCTCTCTTTCTTAAATGGTAGAGAGAAACAATATCGCCACCAGCACAAAATGCCCTTCCACTCCCCTCCAACATTTCAATAGAAATGAAAGTTAGAAGCTTTTTTCACCTCTCAAACACAAGTAATTTCGATAGACAAGTAGAAGAAATAAGCAACAATGTGCTACAAAAATTACCTTCATCATCACAAACCCGATATTTGGATCTTCTTCCCAATTCTTATAAAGTTTCTGCAACCTAACTCCCTATTGACAAAATAGCCACAGCAAATGTACCAACAAGAACACGAGTGTTACGAAATCGTCTAACATAAGAGTAATATAAGAGTAAACGAAAATGTATATACAATCAATATACAAACAGCTCCAGAATTAGAGAGAAATACCATGTGAGTGGTGAGCGCATTAAGAGAAGGTGGTCTATTGAGAATCGCAGTGCGAGAACAACCACTTCCTTCAACGAGAACCTGATCGAAAAAGATTGATCCTACGAATCATTCAAATCCCCAGAAAAAATAGAAACCGATAAAGAGTGATTACGAAAGAGCACGAACCTGATTATCGAGATCTTCGGGAGTGACCTTAAGCGAACATAAGCTTCTCCTCTGGTAACTAATGAATCTCCATAGCTTATCTCGAACGATTCTCTTCAACAATCCCTTACCGTTATGCA